ATATATTTTTTACATATATTGTTAATATTTTTTGAATTATTTTGTTATTTTAAAATATTATAAATATATAGGTTAAATATTCAAAATATATAGGACGTTCAGAGATTGGGCCGCCTGTGTTCAGAACTGACATAACTATCTAGTATAAATAAAGTTAGTTTAGGTATTAAGGTTTCCTCCAAGAAGAGCAGTTGGAAACACTTTGCACAAAACTGGTAGAGCTATGCAATATAAAGTTATCTTTAAGGCTGTTTTCCACTTCAACGTATTTCATGTACCATAACATATTTCATTGTTTCCTGAGCAATAGAGTGGAACTAACGACACAAAAGACTGCTAGGGTACGGTTGAAGTGGAAAATGGCCTTTACTTCGCTGGATTTATCTGGTAGTAACATATAGAAAATAGGGAATGGCCTTTACTGGACCTCTTGGACTTGGGGGAACAGTTTAGAACTGGTGTTAGTCAGTATAAAAAAAAACAGTTAGTGTGTTAATTTCTAGGAGCAAACTTGAGAAAGACAAATTTGGAATTTGGCTGGGAGTAGTATATATAGTATTGAAAAGAATATTGTAAGTAGAATCTCTTAATTTACAAAGGTAAAAGGAACAAAGTGGATTCAAGAAGAACGCCAAAGAGAGTTCATCTTACAGGCAGACACTCATCACAACGCAAGTGAAATATACTTCCATACTATTCCACAAGAGCATGTGAAGTCAGCAAGGAAATGGATGAAAGATGGCATATTTCAACGTAACCAGATGCCTGCATTTGCTGAAAACCCCACTTTGACGGGATATGATAATTCCTACAGCATTCCCTCAGACGCAGTACCATTCGCTGGCTGGGACTATATTGAAGTGAAGAAATTCGGGCATTCGAATTCGTTGGTTACAATGTATGGTGCATACATAGAAAATATTTTGGGAATGGTGATGAGAAAATTATCCAGCAAGCAAGTCCGTTTTCAAATACTCCTCAGCGACTGTATGGACATCAAGCAATATATTGACCAGGAGAGCAAATATGATCGTATTTTAACTTCGAACTTAATAGATTATATCATTCTCCCGGATTTACTAAAACTCTGTTCTCAGAAGCTAAACCACGGAAACCCTTATGCAACCATTGTAACGGAGACCCAAAATTGGACACGTGATTTTTGTCCTGAAGCAGACGTCACTGGTGATTCGGAACGCTATAAATTGGGGAAAGAAACAGCTCTCAAAGATACCAAGAATCCTCAACAAGTTCAATATGGAGATGTGAGGGAATACCTCGATAACTCCAGAGAGTTCATTGATTTCATACGAGCATTGTTCCACACCCATGCCATGAGAATTAGGCCCACCGAATTGCCCAAAATTCCGACTGTTCAAGTGTTGGGCAATGAATTTCAATTGAAACTCAGAGATGGCTTTCGAAATGAAAACAGGATCGCTACTTTCAAGATGGCTGTCAATCGAAGAAGGGTGACAGTGATTACAGGGTTAGCACGTATCATTGAATGGGTGCCTTGGCAGAGTGAGTGATCAACTGCTTTTAAAGCTGACTTTACAATGGTTTAAATATGATTTAGTATGTTTGAATTTGAACTTAGTTTAGATAATCTTCCTTTCTATTTATTTATTTATTAATTTACATAGTATGGATATCATTAACTGAATCAAAGTTATTTGATGGCGGTTCTGTAACAGTAAAATTTTACAATAAGCTGGCGTGGTTTATGTCTGAACTACTTTAGAAGATTAAAGTAAATAATTAATTTTGACGTTAAGTCAAAATTTTAACAACAAGGTGAAAGAGTTTATTGATTATATTTTACCAACAAATCATTACATCACTTTATTTTACATTTCTATTCATAACTGCAAATCATAATTGAGCCTCAGGACTGGCACAGGTTGTATAAAATGTGGAAAAGACACATATTTTGAACAAAACAAACAAACATGTTTCAAAATATTTTCTACAGAACCCGTTCTGGACTGCACCAAAGTTTGAGGGTAAGGAATGAAAATTCAGTCATTCATTAATATTACACTACAATCATATTATACCCTTCGCACCTGCAAGAAAGGATAGTTTGTCTGATAAATGCAGGAAATAAATGGCTCAATCCTCCAATGCCACCTACATATTTTGTCTGACAAAAATGTCAAGCATGACGTTTTCCGAGAACCATTGCCAGTGAGGACCATGCTATTCTAGCAGATGTGTCTACATCTTGTTTTTCATTAATCATTAAGATATGCATGATTGATGGCTTAGATAAACACTGAAGCCCCATTTACACTACGCTCAATTTTTGGTACGGCACGGATAAAATTGTAATAGTCCAAGAACCAGAAAAGTGGCACGGTACCAAAAATCGAGCGTGGTGTAAACGGGGCTTGAGTGTTGTCAAATGATCTATTTCTAGCATAAATTGTGTAAATGGCAATATCAGTTCACAACCTATGCCATAATTCATGTTATTACCTTTAAACAACAAAATTACAATGGTATACTTTGTATAACAGTATTGTATCCACTTTTATGTAATTAAAAGTGGGTACATTGTCATTGAGTAAAATTTGTCTTTTTTCAATATCAAATGGGAATTTGGCATAGTATACCTATGTAAGAAACAAATACATCAAGACTGATATCTATTGGCAGCTAGGTTTCGAGTAATCGAGTTGGCTCTTTGGGTTGTGTTTTCCATGAAGACCATGCATTCGGAGGTTTTTAAACCTGAAACGTGCCTCACCTGTGGTTTTGATAAAGCTGTCTCAGACTGGAAATTTTGAAACTAAATTTTTGTTTTTATATATGTAATCTATACCAGCATGAGCAAGCATGTTGGACAACAGTAAACAAAGGGCCGAAGGCAAGTGGTTGTATATCTTACACAACACCGACACTAATGGCGTAATGCTGTACAATACAGCATTACGCCATTAGTGTCGGTGTTGTGTAAGCCTGTATACAGGGTGTATCAAAATAAACGCAATTTATCTTTTGTGCTTAATAACTTTCGAAATACTATTTCCAGTTAAACGCTTTTAGGCTTACTTCAAAGCCTGTTCTTTTCTCTTTCAAACAAACTATTATCCTTGTCTCCAATACTAGTAATAATTGCACAGGAAAAGATTTAGTAAAACCTATCATTTTAGTTGCTGTTTAATTATGCAAGTTTACTATGTTATTGTTTAGTCGGTTTAAATGTTAGAATTTTCTTCTTTAAACTTTAATGTTGTCGTCACTACATCTGGAAAACCACGTAAGAACAAATTAAAAGTATTTTTAAAGAGACCAGGTTGTTTGAAAATCCTAAACGAATGCTAAAAATCGTCAAAACATTCTGGTGTTTGAGCCAGAGTGTCATCGAATTGCGATGTAATGTAAACAGAAATTATAGCAAGTTGATGTCAGTCAGCTTAGATGGTCCAAGCCAAAATTATATCGCATTTGAAGTTTCAAACTGAGTTAAAAATAGTGGAAGAAAAGCCGTAATTATACTTATTGTTACAACCCATTTAATAAAATGCAACATTTTTTTGTTTTAATGAAAAAATCAGTTATTTTCATGAGAACGATTTGTTATTCCATCTCAATTTTTTTAATCTCCAATCACAATAACGTAAAGTATTATTATCCGCGAACCAATGAGTCAAATTTAAGAAACAACCCACTGTTAGAAAGCTGAATGGCTACGCTTTAAAATGAATGTAAACTTTAACGTTTTCGTCTATTATTTGTTTAGCAATTTACATTTCAGTAGAGGATTGCGCTTTTTTTGATACACCCTGTATATATATATATATATATATATATATATATATATATATATATATATATATATATATATATATATATATATATATATATATATATATATTATTGTTATTATTATTATTATTATTATAAAAAATTTTAAAAGATAGTAAAAACTGTTTTGGTCGAAGCGGTAACGTTTAATAAACATATACAGTTTTAGCTAATTCAATAATTTAATACAGTTTTAGCTAATTCAGTAAAGCAATTAAAAGCTGATCATTGCGTATATTTTAAATGAAAAAAGAGAGCGTATAAATATGTCAGTGTATCTTTATTGATTACCCAATTCTTAAGTATATTATAATTGCAGTTCTAATTCGTATTGGGCTCTGAAAGTAAGATTTTACTTCCGTTTCTCCGACCAGAATGCACTGCTGTTAACCGACCAGAATGCTTTGCATGCATGATGCTATATAAATGCAGTTGTTTTGGTGTAATTTGTATTCATTGTATGGTCTGTTGATTTCTGGCTTGTCTTTACACTATATATAGGCTACTGGATTTGCTTATTGCAAACAATTTGTAACGCTTGGACAGCGATATTTCTGTGTTTGTGTTCTTCGCCTTATCTTGTTTTCTCTTTTCTTACATGATTTAGCAAATAATTCACCATATAGCAAAATCAACATTGGTCATTGTAATTGCACGCCAGCTCAAAGCGTTCATTTCAAGCGTTAAAAGTGAACTAATTTCATCTCGATTGTTGTCGATCAGTTTGCCATAATTTAAACAGGGTTTCGTCTGTTGACTTTTTGTTTGAATTGAATCTGACTTGACTATCCGTGTAATTGACACGGCGACATGGCATCAACAGTTCGACAACTGCCAACTTAGCCCGCGTGCAGGCCCAAGGGAACTGATAGTGGGCCTGCAAGCAAGGCCCGGTATTTTGTAAAACGCCCCTTTTCATAACACGCCCCATTCGCGCGTCAATTGTCAAAAAAGAACCAATGACATCACCCAAATATTAACAAACAAACTCGCATTAAAATGTTGCGGGGTTTTCTCTGCTTATTCAGAACATAAACAATGTGTAAATGCCTGCGTTTTAACTCCAAAAAAGCAAGCAACGCAGTCAGTAATTGCCAAATTTGCAAATTTGCAAGTCATTTTCAACTAAAATCGGAACAGGCAAATTAGGACGAATTTCAACAGAAAACCAGTCTCAAACTTCAAATCGTGAGGGAAGTCGTGCGACCACATTAGCATTTACAATGTGTGCTTCGCTGTTGCCATTGTTATAAATAAATTGTCTCACTTATCAGATCATGTGTGCAATTCTTGTTGGCGGCGGAAAGTACGAAATTTATTTCAGTTATTTCATTTGGTAAAGAACTCTACAAAAGAAGAGAGCATTCAGAGTCCAGATCGTTTCGTTTCAAACGGCAATTTAATACCGTCTTCTGTTTCGCTCTCTCAGCGAAGCCTTGTAAATCGCAAAGTGTTTCGAATAGGCTTACATGCAACTGCATCTCAACATCAACCAAAAGATAATTTTCTTGAGAAACATATAACGTATCAAGTCTGTTTGAAATTAATGAAACTCAAGTAAAGGTTATACTATAGTTTACCCCAGTCGTAATGTTGCTATTCCAACACCTCACGACAAGCAATCCCCATTGGCATAACGGAAAAAACATCTCTTCCTTCAAGTAAACAATAAACAGTCTGTTCTTGTTCCATTTATAATCGAAAAAAGTGATCAATTTTCGAATTTTGAGCTTATCGAGAGCCTTTGTGATGAATCACTGACCTAATTATAGAATCCAACAGCAAACAGCCAATCAGAATGCCGCGTTCGTGGGCGAACGCGGAAAGTACAAAATACCGGGCCTTGCTTGCAGGCCCACTATCAGTTCCCTTGGGCCTGCACGCGGGCTAACTATATATATATATATATATATATATATATATATATATATATATATATATATATATATATATATATATATATATATATATATATATATATATATATATATATATATATATATATACTAGAAAATACATGCATGCAAAAAACCCTCGCCTTGCTGACAAAACCATTGTATTTTCCGAACATGAAGTATCTAAAGTAGTTGTCATGGTAACACGATAATTTTTTAAGAATATTCATACAAATGAAAAATCGCCTAAAAATATCACTTTTAATTACAAAATTATCAATTTCCCACCATATATATGTTAGGTATGTAATTATACGTAATACAAGCTTCAATTTAAGGTAAAATTCAACCACAAACAATTCACAAAACGTTTTAAAGTGTTCTTTATAAAACTAAACTGCCTTTAACTATTAAATGGCTTTATCGATAAACTTTGAGTTTGCAATAAAATGATTTCAAATTCTCGCATGCAAATAACTTCGCTTTATTTTTTATTTAAAAAATTCAATATAATAAAAAGGGAATCAATATTAAAGATACACTGAAATTTTATGCTGTCTTGTTTAGTTGTTTCATATACGCAAAGGCCGTCGGGTTTTAAAGCAATTATAAAATCAATATTTAAAACAAACTTACCTTCGTTAAC